TTGGAGGAGAATGTTTGAGAAAAGTTTGAGGGCTCCTTTGACCTCGCGTACGTACCCTTTCATGTACCCCGTATAATCATAAGTTGCCGCTAAGTGCGATGAGATATTTGTGAAAGGAGACATGAAACCCATGTTCATATATAGATATATTTTTCAAGTAAACTGATCGTGTATCGGAATGTTAATCGTTAATTTATACAGCATTGTTAGTTTATTTTATTGTTGTCACATTATCGATTAATTTGAGAAGAAATCTTTATTTTCTTCGTATATAATATCATAATTTCATACTAAGTTAGCTTTACGATGATATTGTTCTTTAAGAACAGTTTAGTACGCACCCTAAATTATCAGATAGCCTAAAGGCATAGGGACGGTTTAGTCGATGAAAGTCTCTTCATAATTATGTTATGAATTAACCAATAAAATTAAATTAAAAATCACAATTGCAAATCAATGAATGATGCATGCATTGTGGTGTCCCGCTTTAGTTAGCTGTCACCATTTCGAAAGGTGGTCAACTTAAATGATATTTTGCTTTTCATTTTTTTTTATATATTTTATGAGATATAATGGTCGATAATCTTTATAAAATCATGTGGCAACAAATTGCCTACACTTTGTTTGTTGCCACCAGGAAATATGAATAATGACTTCACTGTCTCAACAACCTTTGAATCGAAAAAGAGCAAAAACCTTAAATAGTGTCCTTAGTATTATGGAAATGTAAATTCCCAGATTTCCTGTTGAGACGAGCTTCCATTTTGTTTTTGTTTTTGTTTTCTGGTTATGGAGCTTCCAAGGAATTTCAGTGCAAAAGGTTACTCACTTGTTTTGGATATTGACCAATTTGACCTAAAACTTTCAATACTAATTCTTACTAGTGCATTCCTTCTAACTTTGACAAATTCGAGACCAGTCAGAATTTAATTAGTTATAGAGTGTACTGAACTATTTTTGTATGGATTGAACTAACCTGTTTTGTTGCGATATTAATTTATGTTTTCGTAAGTATTATTCATCAAATTATCAGAAAAACGGACATTTATAACCCCATATATATATATATATATATATATATATATATGAGACCCTTTAAGGGAAGAGATTTCTATTTTTCAAAAAATGATGGGGACACTCTCTTAACTATTATATTTGACTTTAATGAAATTTTATGGTTGAGATTAAATCATAGGTCACAGAATTTCATTAAAGTCAAATCTAACAGTCAATATTATGTTTCCATTTTTTTTTAACAGAGATCCCTTCCCTTAAAGCCTTATATATATATATATATATATTACTTGGCAAACGTATGATTGAATACTCTTAAAACAAAACTGAATGTAGATTAACTAATCTCATAACAAACCGTCAAAGATAATAAAGTAAGGATAATGACCTACCAAAACATTAAATAAATAAACACTAAAGTAATGCAGAGTTCACCACCATAAATTTTTTTATAAGCCTATGAAACGTGAGGTCCAATATTTTCGTTTAAATATTATTTCCAAGATATTTGGCTACCCGATATAATAGGGTTTTCTTCTTCCCAAAAACATAAGATAAGAGCAGCAGAAGTTCCTAGTCTTCTGGATTCTGAAAAGTTTTTACCACATTCATCTGTCTTGTATATATATATATATATATATTTAATTTTCTTCTGTTTGTTTGCTGAGATGCCACGCCATGAGTTAACCCCAAGCAAGAACAACGTCTGCATCTTGTACTTGTACATAATTAATCCAATTCTTGAGGAGAGGTAGATCGACTCCCACCAAATATATCGATACTTTTATATTTTCCTTGAAAGATATAGGTATTAAAACAAGAAAGTGATTGAGTTTTGCATACTAATTTTAGTTTTTCACATTCCTTTTTATTCTAATAATTGAATTGAATAAATCAAACATAATCAACGATCAAAATTAAACATGAGTGTGTAAGAGACCTATCGAAGTAAGTGAAACTTGAGCAAGTTGTTTTTTAATACTAAATTATAATTTTCACTACATTGTAATAAGAAAAAAACTTAAGTAAGGTACCGAATTACATCATACATAAAAAGTTATTATAAAAACATGAAATTTGATTACGTGCTTTGGTTTCACTAGCCATGTGGTGATCATTCTCACTTTGGCACGAGAGTTACACTAATTAAGCAGACTTACACAACTTTTTCTAATTGGTCTGATAGGGATGCTACAGTTTTGGTGGATTTATGAATACGAATTAGGGTAAATTAGGTATCATATTTTGTTGTGTGTGCATGGCATGTATATCATAATGCAGCACAGCTCGAAATACGACGTTTCATGTTTTGCATGCTTCATGGTTGGTGCTTTTGTGGTCCACCGCGCAATATACGTACTGTGCTTGTAGCTTAATATATAGACATGGAATGGATATTGCCTGTTGGTTGGTTTGTGGAGCGCAAAGTGACAAAGGCGTAGGTGCGGTGCGGTGCTGTGCTGCTGGGTTCATTACCTTATATATTAGTTCAACAATATTTTTGGTTAATTCCTGAATTATTCAGCAGACCCACCGTCCCTTTTCCTTTTGAATTTGGTACCCTTGCTTTGTGTTTTTTTCTATTATTTTCTTCTCTTGTTGAATATGATGATGATGATTGATGATGTCAATTCCATTCAAATTTTGCTTTACCTAAAAGTTCATCATTAGTTTTTCTAAAGTAAAGCAATTGAGAACATTAATGGGGACTACCATGCAAAAATATAACATCTCTCTCTCTGTGTTTGGTGACTTTTGGCCCTCGAGACGAGTCTCCACATGAGATTTGAGACGACCTTGCCAATTGCCAAGTGCAACGTGAAGTGTTTGTGGCTGGAGGTGGACTGTCTTTTCCATGCAAAGATAAATCCTCGAGTGTAAATGTCCGTCATAAGCCATAGCTCTACTGTTCCCAACTACGTGTCTCCTTTATATCTCTTACTAGTATTTTGACATGCTCTCATAAACAAGTACGACATCATGCTTCTTACGAGTGTGCCGCAGCATTGGACATCGGCACTTGAAGGCGTAAATATCTCTAGTCTGTGTTGTCTTTCAACAATAATTAATTCTTTGAAATAACAAGTAATCATCTGTAAGAAATGTGAACATCTATGAAATATGGTATAAATGAAATTTACATGGAACATTGGGCTGGAGTTTTAACAAATATTGGGCTGGAGCTGGGAGAAAGACTTTCTTAAACAATAAAGTCGAGCCTTATTGCCAAATGAATCCAATCAAGATAAAAGCTTGCCAAAACCTTTGGATTGGGCCGGCCACAAATTGTTGCAATTACACTGAACCAACATAACAATTCCCTTTTTAACGCTTGAACCCAAAAGTTTTTGTGTGGCACGGCGCAATTTTTACTCAGTCTAAATTAAAGTGATGGTCACCTCTTTATTGGTTATTTATTTATTAATTTGGTTTAATTGATTTAAAATACGAATTTGAAAATTTAAACTAATTTATCGGTAATTGGTGTTGGGTGGGTATCATCCTCACTTTAAAGAGGTGAGAACAAATGCACTCCTTCTTTTATTTGATTCATTGAATCTTTTAGAAGTGATTTCTCACATATATATTTTTTTAGTTTTGATATTGAACCCAAAAAAATTATATGTACTTCACTTCTAATCTTATCCGCCACTAATCAATTTTCTATTAAGAAAATGTTAGGGATATTTTCTTTATAGACCGTATTTTGTAAACCACATAATCTACAATTAATGGTTGAATTCTATTTTTAGTGATTTAAATAAGGAATCTAACAATCAATTGTCACACCATGTGGTTTACAAATATGATTTGTAAAGATGATATCTCCAGCATCATCCAAGTACAATGTAAATGGTAAAACACATCAACACCATTGTTTACTCTTATTATTATAACACGTGATATAATATATCACGTAACTTAAACAGAACAATATGTGGAAACATAGTAAACAGAGCAAACACTTTGTTTTGGTTACACGTACAAGGTATCTTTATTCATGTGTTTCCAATTCGAGGCCATGTCATGAATGGAACCTGGAACCCCTTCGATACCCATGTGACATCTCAATCCCCTATTTCGTCTTCACGCCTGATAACGACTGCTCCGTTTCCAAAACGGCACAAACTTTCTAAATGCAAGAATCCAGATCAATACCGCAACTATGATCCACATTGCATAACCGTTCTCGAACTTTTTAAGTACAAAGACGTTGACATGATCAAGTTTAGAGAGCCATGAGCCGGGGAGAAATTTATTTAGGACGTGAATGTCATTGCGACATATTTTAAATAGTACGGGATTGACTCAAACATGGTAACATTATCTTTTTTAAGGAACAATTGGTGACAAGTTACGGGAAGACTCATGGAGACATTTCAATGTTTGGTTTCCACACCAACAGCGAGTTTCGAAGTCCAGTATCATTATCGTTCAATATAAACGTAATTGCATGTATCATTGACTTGTCAATCAATCACTTGATTCTCGAATAACTTATTATTTAAGTGACTTAATATTTAAGTCAAATGATCTTGCAGCTCCAATATGGCTAGTATAACAGAGTCTTTAACTCTAATTAACCAATTACATAATCTTTATTTGGTAAGACTTATTATGATCGGATATAAGAATATAAATGCGATTACGAGTATCTTCCATTTGATAATAGACTTGATTAAGAAATATCCTAACAACTAACAAAGGATTGTCCATACTCGCCTAATAATTGTTCTAATATGTGTTAAACCTTTTCATAATAAGAACATATAATTGAAGATCGTAAAAAACGCTCTTATGAATGAACCGATTCCTCTTCTTCTAATTTATTGTAATTCTCGTTGATATGCTTTAAGAGTTAAGAGCCATGGTACAATAAAGATGTCATCCATCTGATATTTCTAGTTAATCATATTTATTGTATGTTATAACGGGGTTTAGTAGCATTTCGGTCGACATACTATAGTGGGCATATTCCTCTCCTCAGCTTCCTTATAAAGACGACGAATTTTCATCTTGTCTTTTAGCCAACTCACTCCCTGGTAATGTTTATCATGCCACCCTAACCCTGTTTAACTTCCCTTTTTATCACACCGTAATCTTCCGCTCATTCCAATCCCCCCTCTCGATCGTATCGGTATATATCTGTGCTGTTCTCTGCTGGGTGAATGCAACTTGCACAACCAACCCACAGCAGCAGACCCAGCACCTTTCCTCTCAACTTCCTCAGAAAATCAATGGCCCCCTTGAGCCAGATTCTCCAAGATTTCCAAGCAATGCCCTTTGCATTCCCTGCTGCCATTGCTGCTCTGTCTCTGCTCTTCCTGTTTTCCGTCAAATCTTTCGTCTTTACCAAGAAGAATGCTTTTTCCAAACTCCCTTCTGTTCCAGGTACTTATTTCTAATTTCCCACTTTTATTTTAGTGTTTTTTTGGTTGGGGATTTATGAGTTTTGTTGAAATGGTTGGTGGGTAAATTGGGAAATTTGCAGTTGTGCCAGGGCTGCCTCTGGTGGGGAACTTGCTACAGCTGAAGGAGAAGAAGCCGTACAAGACGTTTACTAGGTGGGCTGAGGAGTACGGGCCAATATATTCCATCAAGACTGGTGCTTCCACCATGGTTGTTCTCAATTCAACTGATGTCGCCAAAGAGGTAGATTTCTTTTACTCAGTGATTGAAAGACGTGAGTTAGAGCAGTTGGCTGGGAGCGCGGGCGCAGCGTCTTCCAAGTTCGAGAACTCACTACTCTAAATTAGAGTAATTAGAATACAATAGAGAAATGATTTCCGCACATGTTTTTTCTTTTTGCACACCTTGTTTATTCATGTTCGTGAATACTCTTTCAATTTATTTATTTCAAAGGCTAAAAGTAAATCAGGGTTTGTACCTAGATGGAAAATGTGTGCGAAAATCACTTTTTTTATAGAATAGCCTTTGTCAAATAAGGAAAAAAAAATTCACTAGGAACGATGTCACATGATCGAAGGGTACTTATGTTATTTGCTGGATAAGTAAATTGACCTTCATTGAAGTTTGTTATTACCAAGTGAAATCAGAGTTTATCCATCACTGAAACTTCCGAGTGAGATTATTTGGTTGAGTTTGGCCTTTGGACCGGTTGACTTGGTTAGTCTACCAGTCTTCACCATTTTTCTTTGGTTGGTGTGGACTTCAGAAATTGTTTAAAATTATTTAAAAAAAAACTAACTCTCAAGGATTATTGTTTTAAATTCGGCTGAAGTTTGGTTGCAAACAGAGAACTCGGAGTGATATCGTGTTCACAACTTTGAAATTTGATCTAGAGGAGAGTCGAATTTTCTCAGGCTTTGATTTTTTGAATCTCCTCATGCGGAGTAATTAATTAATCCGTGCAACGAAAACTGGAGTAGCTGAAGTTGGCAATTTATGAGAAGCATAGTTTAGCATTTGCAATTAACATATTGTGTTCTATCTTAAAGCCACGAAAGATCCATTCGACTGAGTTTTCTACTGATTTCCGACTTATGGGTGTAATATTTTCCATTGACATCGTTATAGAGTTGATGAGCAATAGGCATGTCCTTGACGCGTATTGCAACGCTCAAGGGTCATAACAATGAAAGTTCTGGTTCTTAATAATTCAATATGTTCTGATGAACTAATGTATTACGGGGATGGTTTTATCCTCTACATATGAATGCTTATGTATCATTGATTCATTATCGTATTTTTTCCTTGTATGAAGGGTTGTAATAATCGGTAACCAGTTTCTGCTCTAATGATTGTTTCAGGCCATGGTGACCAGATATCCGTCCATGTCCACGAAAAAGCTATCAAATGCACTAAAGATTCTCACTTACGATAAATGTATGGTTGCAATAAGTGACTACAACGATTTTCACAAGATGATAAAACGATACATACTCACAAATGTTCTTGGAGCAAATGCTCAGGTTTGTTGTTGCGGTTGTTGTTCTAACTTAAAGCGCATACTATTTCTTATGCCATCATATGGTAGATCTTGTTATATAACTCCATTAATTAATTATATTCAGAAGCGGCACCGAAGCCACAGAGATACCATGAGGGATAATGTTGCAAGCCGATTGCATGCTCATGTAAAGAACTCTCCTCAAGAAGCTATAAATTTCAGAAAGATATTCGAGTCTGAACTCTTTGGAATTTCTTTGAAGCAGGTGAGTGTTGCTTTTATTTTAGTAGTATAAGTATTCTGTAACGCTTGTTCCTTATACTTGATGTTACAACTGCGAAGTTGAGAATCTAGTAGAATCTAACATAATGGATGCAGGCTATAGGTAAGAACATAGAAGACGGCATTTATGTGGAGGAGCTTGGTACTACATTATCAAGAGACGAGATCTTTAAGGTTCTTGTGCTTGACATAATGGAGGGTGCAATCGAGGTTGATTGGAGAGACTTCTTCCCTTACCTGAGATGGGTTCCTAATAAGACCATAGAGAATAAAATTCAGAGACTCTATCACCGCAGGAAAGCAGTAATGAATGCCCTGATCAAGGAGCAGAAGAAGCGAATTGCTTCAGGAGAGGTTCTCTTTTCTTGCTTTCAAATGCAGTCTCTTTTTTTGGGAACTTCTTAGTAGTTGTATCTGTAACTTGACTGATGTATGAAACAGGAATTGAATTGTTATATCGACTACTTGCTTTCTGAAGCAAAAACGCTAACACCAGAGCAAATAGTCATGTTGCTTTGGGAGACAATTATCGAGACAGCGGATACTACATTGGTAACAACAGAGTGGGCTATGTATGAACTTGCAAAAGATCAGAAACGACAGGTTATTTCTATTTTTTTCCATTTTGTATGCACAACGTTTTTCTTTTACGTAGTAACTGTCATTGGCTAACTTTGCCTCGTAATGTAACAGGATCGTCTCTTTGAAGAAATCCAAAATGTTTGTGGAACCAACAAGATTAATGAGGAACACTTATCCCAGATGCCGTATCTGGGTGCTGTTTTCCATGAGACTTTAAGGAAGCACAGTCCAGCTCCTATAGTTCCTCTAAGATATGTGCATGAAGATACCCAATTAGGCGGTTACTATGTTCCAGCCGGAACAGAGGTACCTGAGAAATGTTTCCATTAGATTTATTTTTTCACTTTTTCACAACATTGTTATCGATCTTTTACTAAGTTGTGTTATTGTGCAGATCGCGATTAACATATACGGGTGCAACATGGACAAGAACCAATGGGAAAGCCCCGAAGAATGGAAGCCAGAGAGATTTTTGGAACCAAAATACGATCCAATCGATTTGTACAAGACAATGGCATTTGGAGCTGGAAAGAGGGTGTGTGCCGGTTCTCTTCAGGCGATGCTGATAGCGTGCACCACCATCGGAAGGCTGGTACAGGAGTTTGAGTGGAATCTGAGAGATGGAGAAGAGGAAAATGTGGACACCGTCGGGCTCACCACTCACAAACTGCATCCAATGCACGCAATCCTCAAACCAAGAAATTAGTAGCCTAGAAAGTTAGGCCTAAAAATACTTCTAGATGGTTTTGGGATTTTATCAACCTGAAGAGACGTGTAATATCACAGTTGAATAAGTTTTGAGTTTCTTTTTTTGGTTGAATAATATCAAACATCCTTGTATCTTTTTTGCAAACACTTACCGTAGTACCGTAGAATCTTTTTTAATAGAGCGTATGATGTCGACAATCGTTTATTTTTACTTTTATTTTAGTACCGTGAGATTTATTTAAGTAAAGCTTACGACGCGGATCATCGATAACGACGGGAATTGGAGTTTTGGGATGCCCCATTTCCCTACCGACCTCGTAAAGACAATTCCATCCACTCAAGGAGACTTTTGGGATACCCAAACCGGGTATCTATTTGTATTGTAGGGTTTGAGATTACAATGGATTAAAATTAAATTTCAATGGTTGGAATATTCAAAATTAAATATCGGCGACCTATCATATATCATTGACATACTAAAATTTTATTATTTTAGCGGTGAGAGCTGAAATTAGAGCGTTTGTTGTTTCCGAAAATTTTATTTATTTCATTTTATATGTTATAGAAACAAAAAACAACCCACAAATTCGATATCGTTTGGATCCCTTCGTTCCTTCTGTCATACATCTTTAGAACAACTGCTATAACGGAAAATTGAACCAACACATTGAAATTTCACAAGAATAGCCTAATTTTTACTACTTGTTAACTTTTTTACTAATAATTTTGGAGCAAAAAACTATATCGTGTAAATTTTTTATAACTTAGGTGGTTAAAATTATTATAAATGTAGCGCAGTTGATCATCTCATATCCCGCGTCACTTTTCTGAAAGATACACAAAAGTAAAATTAAAGAAGCATGTATAGATTCTTTGAACTTGCCCCCACTTGACCGTACCAACGTCTTTGGAGCACATTGAACATAGACCTGGATCATTTGTACAAAATAGACTTTTGGGGTGTTTTGTCCGGCCACTTGCTAATGGCGATTGAAGAGTTTCGGTGAGCTACTGTTGGAAGTATTTCGCAGTAAAAACTAAGTTGTCGTGCAAGGAGTTTATCGCTTAAATAGTTAAAAGCATCTATAAATGCTATTTTGTGGTTTATTCTCTTGATTATCTCATGTAGCCTGTGTCGAATTTAAACACTCGTATCCAGTTCATAAGGCTCCCGCTTTACGCAGGGTCTGGGAGAGGTGAATGTCGGCTAGCCTTACCCCCATTTATGGAGAGGCTGCTCCCAAGTCTCGAACCCAAGACCTACCGCTCATGGGCGAAGGCACTTGCCATCGCACCAAGTTGATGTATTTAAACACTAAAAAACTAAAATGTCAATGTTGATGTATTTATACTGACAACTAACTAGCTAGGGTGAAGTACACACAGCATTTGTCGCACCAATCATTTTGTAATGGCAACATTATTTAAGCCTCAGTTAAGTCGTTTTGGAGAAATTTTTTGAAGTGCTCAATATTCAAGCAGATATTTCAAGTGTCAAAAAATAAATAGAAGAACACAGGTGATTAAGCTGTTAGTTTGGTCGCATCGCCTTGTGGAGTAAGCATAAAATGGTAATTATTCTCTGTCACCTTAATTAATTAATGTTAGTACCTGTGTGTTGTTGCCATGCAGAATTGCAAGTTCTGGCGGTGGCCGAATGGTCGGTTCTAGGTGAGCCCAAAAGGGATAACAAAAGGACTTCAATTGGTCAAACCGTCCATATATCCTTCATTTGTGGCTAATTTCTTCTTCAATGTTATAGATGGGTTAGATACAACGAAAGTTTGAAAATGGATCAGTTCGTAGCACGAATGGGGTGAGTAAACAGTTGAATATGCAACTAATAACCAAGCAATCACTTTCAGTGCAGAAAGATAAAGGAAGTTTAATTAGCATCCTGTTCGAAGGTAAATTCATGTTTAAAACATGTAACTAAATTGGTATTGCTATATTGGATTGACACTTATCGATCCTTCCTTCTGATTCGTTTCGGACTGCTTCATAATTTAACATTGCTAAAACATTTGTGCATGGAACTTGTACTTTCTTTATGCAAGAAAGTTGACGTGTGAAACAAGAGGCTGCTGATGGATGTCATGGCCAAATTAATCGAATAATTAAGGCATCTGATTTCATACTTAAGCAGTGATTGCTATTAGCATGACCGCTAATAGAACCAGATCCGTCATATTATCACCAGATACACAATACTTAGTAGCATCTCAGTACCAAATAGTTTATTAAAACAAAACAAAAGACTCCGTTATACCATTCTCCTCATGCAAAAAAAGAGATTGAATATGAGAAATGTAATCACACGTGAATGTACAATCACGTTACACTTAGACCCAAGTTTTTCTTCCTGAATTAGGGTTAGTGCTAGGGTTTAGTATAGTGTACAGGGGACCGTCGGTAGTCACCGTTGAGAAGTCGTCAAAAACACTGACCGGAAAAATGGGGCTGAAAGGTGACAGTGATCGGCATAAACTCCATACTATGTGATTGACAGTAACAGAAAGAAGACATTGTCGCGGAAGAGCATCTGTAGTTTTGACACAGATCGATGACTTCCTCCCTTTATAGCTTGGCTTGGCTAGTTGCTGGAGCCGCTTGCGTACTAGCCTTATACTATGTACGAGCTCATACGCACCAAAAACTAGTACGTACTCATTACTCACCATGCAACGCTCGTTTTTTTCTTTTACCCTCATTTCTCTCTGTTCATTCTCTAATCCTCTTTTGATTTTATCAATCTAACAATTAGAGAAAAAGAGAGAAGTACAAAGGTATGAAAAAAGAGGTGCGAAACTCGCTGTCATGAACTAAGTAAATGAGCAAATAAATGTATATGCCAAATATTTTATAATTAACGATCTAACGATTGAGAATCTTATGATATAATATGTATTGACATGTACTCGAAAAACCCACGAAAAAAAAAGGAAATGAAAGGTAGCAGGGTCGCGGGGAGCAAGAACTACGACAAAGTTGAAGCGAATGACTGAAAGGGGGTGAGTTGAGTGACCTGGGCACCAAGTACCACTCATTACTTGCGATAAGAATCTTGAGGGTAGGGAGCTGCACGACTAGCTGGCATGTAAATGTAGCTAGGGTTCTGGTACTATTAGACTAGACACAAGGCTTTAGTACCGAGAGAGGAGGTACACACGATATCCAAGGGGCGGAGCAGAGGAGAGAACATAAGCATCCATGCTACAATATATGCATGATATGTATAGTTTGTTCAAGTGGATACTCGTGATTTAATAATTGTATGTATTATGTAATGAGGGAGATAAGAAGACAAAAAAATATTAATTTAGATATAAAAAGAGAAAAATTTAAACAGGCGCTTGCCGAGCTTCTAAAGAGTCTTCCGTATCGCACTTATAACAAAAACATTTCTCTTCTATGTTTGAATCTCAAACGAATCAACGCTAATCTCACGTAATACGAGAATGGCTCTCTACGTTTATGTAGGGGTGGAATTTTTTCCCGAAAATCCCGAACCGTCCCGATCCCGTCCCGAAATTATCCCGAAAAATTCCCGAAACAAATATCCCGAAACATTCGGTACCCGAAACCGATCCCGACCCGAAATTTTCGGTTTGGGATTTGGCCACTGCTTTGAAATCTTTCGGGAATCCCGAACCGAACCGAATAATTTATATATATATATTTATTTATTTTTAATTTTTAATTAGGAATTACTTGAACCGTTGGATTTGTTAAAATCAAATCCAACCGTCCATAGTTAGGTCATTTGTTTGTTAGAACTTAGGTTATCATCAGACTCTCTCAGTCGCTCTCGCTCTCTCACCTCACTGGCGCCGCTCACCTCACTCACTCTCACAGTCACTCACTCTCACAGTCCCCCCGCTCCACTCCTCCGTCGAATCCACGCCGCTCCTCATCGTCCATCACTCCATTGACTCACGCCGCTCCACTCCTCCGTCGACTCCAGCCTGATCGAACAAGTTTGGAACAAAGGAATCCATGCCGGTCCTCGTCGTCCATTGACTCACACCGCTTCTCCATGGACTGACGCTTCTCCATCGACTCACTCACACACTCGAATCCGACACCAATCGAGTCCCAAAATCCAGGTTAGTAGGCCTAGAAGCTTTCCCAGTTGCATGCAACGCTTCATCTCTGTGCCTCAAGAGAGAATGAGAAAGAAATCATCTCACTTCTTCTTCAACGGAGCTTGATTGTCGAGAAGGAGGTCCTGGGGTTCACGGCGGAAGGTCCGAAGATTAGGATAAGAGCTTTTGTGGAAGGCGGAGCTGGAATCTGCTGTGGCGCGAACAGAGGAGCTGTGGCGAGGAAGGACTTGGTGTTCGAGCCTCTCTCTGAGGACTCGCACAGGCTCTGGTGCCAGAAGCTCGGGGATTACATCGATTCTCTCGGTAATTTAATTTGTAATCGGCTTGCGTCGTGTTTGGTTGATAGGAAAATGCAGGAAAATGAAACGAATATTTGGAAAAAGTTTGACTTTTCACTTCTGGGTGTTTGACCGTTGCGAGATTATTTTGAATTTCCGTTGTTCTCGTTCTAATTTCTTAACTCAAGCTCGTTTTACTCTAATGATCACTTAAGCGAGATTAATTATTGAAAATCACATGAATTTATGGTTTATTGTTACTTTCCTGCATATGTAGTGATAATATAGGTGGTTTTTTTATAGTACATTATTTGTCTTCAGAATTATGTGCTTATATTAAGCTTATGATTTTCTTCTTACAAGCATTGCACTTTTTAGTAGGTAGTAAATGGACTTTCGGGAAAATCCCGAAGTTTCCCGAAAATCCCGAAACACTTTCGGGAATCCCGAATTTCGGAATTCCAATAGTTTTGGTTCGGTTTCGGGATATAAAATCCCATCCCGAAATGTTTTGGTTTGGGAATCGGGTTTGGGGTTTCGGTTCGGGATCCCGACCCGAACCAGCCCTACATTTATGCATGAAATGCGAAGAGAGAGATCATGTACGAGTGTGATGTATGATGGTTGGTTCAAGTTGTGGTAAGTCGTGAGTAAAAACTGTGACACTGGACACGAAAATATTAGTGAGAGAGACAGGAGGTAAACACGATACCCCAGGAGAGGAAGGAGGAAGAGGAAGGGACAGGCAAAACCAATTATTGTATCCCACGCTGCCCGACACCCATCATATTGTCGGTCCTCATTTATTCTCCCCCCTATTCAACGGTTAATTAGCCCCCCGGAGTACATGTTCCTTTTCCCTCTCTTTTTTTCATTTATTCATAACAAACAAGGTATTGTTACACTCCATGTTATGAACTACGAAGAACCAGATTAATCTCATAAAAAAATTGGACCGTGCTAATATGTATTTACAAATTGAAGAAAGTTTGAACGCGAAAAATAATGTGCTGGAAAAGAAAGTTTGAACACAAAACAAAATATGCTAAAAAGAATATCGTAACGATAATAGCAATACAACTTGATTTTTTAAAAGTTATATTTTTCCGAGATTATAAATATGGTGAATTAAAGATAAATAAAACTGAAATTTAAAAAAATGACGGTCTGCATAAAAAAAAATTATAAAAAAAATCTCAGTAAAAAGAAGGGGGAGAACTTTTTAAAATAATATTGCAGGGATCGAGGAAGAACTTGGTCCGATTCATTTCCGACCGAGAGCCAAGTTGATGACAAGAACAAGGTTGAGTAGAGATCACGCAAACCCTAACTGATACGCCAGCTTCCCCACGGGCCACAAGACAAACCACGAAAATCTGCCAATCACATTCACCCACGTCACCACCTCCGTGCATGTCACTAAATATTAACCGAACAGTTAATTTTAAAAAAAAGCAGATAAATACGAAAGGATAAGTTTACCCACTTAAATTTACTAAATCAGATTAATCGGGAGGTGGTAATTCAGCCGTCCCACGTGTCACTCGCGCCACCTTCTTCACTCCTCGATAAAACCCTCCTCTCTACTTCCAAAATATCTCCCCCCTCTCTCTGCCCAAATTCCCCCCTACTTTCTCCAAACGACCACACTCACGATGCCGTTTGACTCTGCCGACGCGCTAATGCAACCGTCGATGACGACGAGAGTCCAGCACAGCCTGGGCCACCCTCCGCCGCAGCAGACCGAGCCGCTTCACTGCCCCCGCTGCGATTCTGACAACACCAAGTTCTGCTACTACAACAATTACAACCTCGCCCAGCCACGCCACTTCTGCAAGTCCTGCCGCCGATACTGGACCCACGGCGGAACCCTCCGCAATGTCCCCGTCGGCGGCGGGTCTCGCAAGAACACCAAGCGTTCTCGCCCATCCTGCTCTTCCTCCTCGGGCTCGCCCTCCTCCTCTTCACTGACCCAGGAGGTCAGCTCCGTCGCGCCCGATAAACCCAATTCCTTTCCGGTGGAACCGAAGCCTGAGACGGCGACGGATCACGAAAAACTGATGGACCTGAACGAGAGCGCTGTTGGGAACGGTGGCTTCACTTCTCTGTTGAGTGCTCAGGGCCCACCTGCATCTGGCTTCATGGCGTTTAGCGGGTTCGGGTACGGGTTGGGGCTCGGGCAAGGGTTTGACGAAGTGGGTACTTTCGGCTACGACGGCGGCAGAGGAGTGCTCGCTTATCCCGATGTCGGTGATTTTACAAATGTTATCCACAACAATGGAGCTGTTTCTGGGGGTTCTGTCGGGTGCAACACGTGGCAGATTATGACTGGTGGTGATGGTGGGATAGCAGAGAACAATGGTGATTGCTTTGCCTGGCCGGAGCTGGAGACTTCCAAGTAACAAAAGCTACTCTTCTGACCCATTATTCGGAAGAAAAAGAAAAAGGTTTAATTTTCCTTTTCTGGGTTATGGGTTTTGGTTCTAGTTTCTGATCATGTCCTTTTGTTATCTGGGTCGGGTTTCGGTGGTGGGTTATGGTATAGATATATCGCTATAGGTTACAAAAGTTAGTTGCTTTTGCTGGCTTCTCTGTTGTCTGGTTTAGGGTTTAGTTTTTCTTGGGTCCTGTAAATGCTCCGTCTTTTGGACACAAAACGCTGCAAGAAAATGGACAAAGACGACTGCTTTTTGGGTTAAAATGCATTTACCTTCCATTTAATTTTATCTTCTGGGAGAAATTTTATATCTTCATTTGACCAGCAATCGATTTTTATAAACTTGTGTTTATCAACGATAATTAAATCGTACGTGTTAATAGAAAAGGCTGATCCATGTCAAGTGGGAAATTAACCAAAATGACGAAATGATGAATTTCCTCCAAGTATGTTATCAATACTTGCTCGCTATTTATTTGTTGATCGTTATTGTTGATATATAATCGATATTCTGGTAATGTTAGTCAAGTTCTTGTTTTTAACTTCTCTATCAGATTTTTTTTTTCTTGGATTCTAAATGTATCCACAGAATCAGTATAAGGGCATGAAGAATAATCGAGTCCCACATCGTTAACTTCGGTTGAAGAAGATTAATTAGTGGATCCAGATTATCTTTCTTTTTCGAATTCCCTCCCTCCAGTCTCCTCCTGCGTGAATGCTTACGATTAAGCTTTAACTTCTTTACCGAGAAAAATTCGAGGAAATGAGGGGAAGGTAGGAGATCTGCAGAAAAGATAATCCTCCTCTTAATTAATAGGGTTAGTAAAGAAACCAGACATGACTGATAGTTTAGTAAAGAGTAAATATTCTACTTCAGAAATGGACAACAATTAACCTTATACTGCTCAGTGTAGGTTTTAAGGTTTTTATACTTTATGATTCATCTCTACCGTCAACCTTCAACCTTCAACCTTCAACGTTGGAATTGAACAGTGAGTTTATTTTCTCTTCTGTTTGTCATGATGTTGAAAATGTCAGAATTTTGAGCCTTGCCACCGACCAGGGACCACTTCCATGCATCCTTCCCGAAACTGTCGTTTTCAGGTTGATATGTTGCTGAAGACTTGTTTGGGCCTCATTTGGAATTATCATTTGAATATTTTATCAGGGTTAATTTATATATTTACATGGAAGAAAATGTAAGAAATGTTGTTTTTCCCTTTAAATTTCCTTGATTTGTGCTATACAGTTGAATTGAGGGTAAATCCAATGCACCGTAGGTAATTAAGAATTATATAGAAAACCTACAGAAGTCATGGTCAACAATGCTAACCTTATCCTCACTATTAAATTCTCAATGCTTTACTATTGACGAAAGGTTTTAGTTCAATAATGAGCGGGTTAATTTTTGTGAGTAGATGTCGTATTTATGTAGACAAACAATGGCTACGATTCTCCTATTATATTCTTGTAGAAAATCAATATCATCTTTCAATTTTAATACAAGTGAGTAATTCATGATTCATTTCAGTCTCAATCCTTTGTAAACTTGAAGACAACCAAAACATCTTTCAATAAGATTTTTTTAAACTAATATCGATACACTTGTGCTCATATTCTAACACTACGTTTATCTCACCGCCAAAATTACTCTGAGTGTAACTAACTAGGATATCTATATTTTATGATATAATTAGTATAAACAAGTAAAAACTAAGACCATCAACATTGTAAATTAGAAGTATTAATATTGTGTATCTACTTGTATATATATATGTGAGATGTAAGATTCAATTTTCGTGAATAACGAGGTTTACCGCAAAATGAAATGAAATCCTCCTGGTTGGTCTTCAATCTTCAAAAGTGTTATATTTGTCTGATTTGTATACTCATAATTAGATCCCAATCCCGCTCGCAAGTTTATAGGGTTGCTGGTGGCACTGGCAGTATATACATGAACATGATGATTACGTAGGGATATGATGAATTGGAATAAACAATCATGTTGTTTATGCGTATGATGATATCGCATTTAATCACGGAGAGCGCCAGCTTGCCTTTGGATCATCCACTCGAGTCTCGACCATTATCCATGCATGCATGCATGCCCACAGCGGATGCACTTAATTAATTAATTAATTCAATTTACGGTAACTCCACTAATTGCTCTCTGCTAATTGAAATCATAATTAAACATATGATTATTCAATATAAATATGCATATATATAGGTCTCTGATCCGGTGGAGTCATCATTCTTGTGGGGATATTTGTGGGCCCCACCCCCACCAAACCCATATTTTTCCTTTTTTAATTCGATGCAATTTTGTTTACCACTCTCAAATGTGGTAACGGTTGCTATCCTATTTATCATTTTTAATTGAGTTTAAATTTCGAAACGTGTGTAATCGATAGATATAAATCTCAAAAGAGTAATGCTATGAGCCTAAATTTATAGACAAAATTTTGCAACTAAATGAAATAGAAGTTGATGATTAGATTATTACTTAAATATTGATAAACGTGCTCATTTTCTATGTGTGACACATTATTTAGCATTACCCATCTTAAAATTTGAATTCAACCAAAGATAATAAATAGATGGTGAGTATTATCATCACCGATCAGCAAAAATACTCTTTTGATTAAGACTGGCCATCTCTCATTAATGTGCATTATTATTAAGTCACGCCCTCAATTTCCTCCAACTATCCATCATTATCATTGCATTCCCACTCCACATTACCAACCTCAACTACATAATTAATTACTGACGAGGAAAATCAAACTACAGAAAAAGAAGACTCCCACAAATATCTAGTGTTAATTTAAATGTACAAAGTTCTTTATTTGTGTATGTAGTCGGATGATAACGTGGTCCGCATGATAAAAAGATAGGGTAAGTAGTAACATGTTAAGAATGATATGGAGGTGGATTGTCTGCCCTCCAATTTCATACTCTTCCCATCTCCTTCTGTTTGTGTGGTCACAGTTAAGTTACGTCAACATTTTATATTGATTTTTTTTATAAGAATAATAAAACAAAAAGTAATAGGAATATAAAATATTGACGTAACTTAACCGTGATGACACAAAATAGGAAAGGATGAAAAAGTATGAAAATGGGAGAGCAGACAATCCACCTCCGAATAATATAACGACAAGTAAAGGAGACTGGGTCAAATCCAACTTTGTTTCAATGGGGTCAACTTGAGCTTATTATCATCACCTAGAAGCATGCACTGAAAATGGGGCCAACTTATAAAGATTCAGAAGCAATGAGAATGGTTCCGTTAAAATTTTTGTGATGGGAAATGAGAAATGTTGTCTTTTTTTTTTCTTTTTTTTTTCTGTCTATTTTTATTCTTCTAACCGTTGAATTGAACAAATACAAGAATGTGGAAGGAGAAAATGGGAGAAGCCTTAACTTAGTTATCTTAGTATAAAGTTTATATTTCAGAACCTGAGCGGTTATAACATAGTAACTATGGAGGCAACAAGAACCATGATATGTACGTACGAGACGAATGGATTTTGCACTAAAGAAACATGTTTATAAGTTTTTTCAACAAATTTTGCAGAATTCCAATGCAAGAGTCATCGAAACATCAATTCGGCGGCTTGAAGAACTTCAATTTAAGTCCGCTGTTCACCATGCTCCACAAGCCTCCGATCGAAAATGCCAAGCTAAAGGCGATCCCAACCAGCCCAAGATCCAATGGAAATACCAGTTGAAGCTGTACTTTGTGGGTTTTTTTATAAGAACCCACATGAAGCAAGGATAGGCGAAAGTGACCGGAAGTGTGAGCCCTCCTAGTAGACCGGCAAGACTGGAGAGGAAGGGGAGTGCCACTCCTATGAAGAAGTTGATGAATCCATAAAAGACTCGGAAACCAGACCGGACCCAAATCGAACAAGGGCGGTTGGTGCGGCTGGTGTAACCGGCTTCAAAACTGTCGAATACTGGCATGGAGTATATCTGGAAACTGCTTAAGCAATTAAACACAACTAGTAGGAAACACATTGCAAGGAGTCCTCTCGGAATGTCATGGCTGTGAAATCCGTACAGGGCATTGAGAATCCCACCAGAAGGCATCTGTAGTTAAACAGAACATGCAACTATAATCAGCAAGACCGCTTTCATGCGTAACTGTTTGCAGTAGCCGATGAAATGCGTCTTACAAGTTAAAAGATTGGTAAACTTACAAGGTTTCCGTAAGCCCAGAAGCCTCCAATTGCAACGGGGAACAAGCACATGGCAATGAAGAAATAAGCAACTTTGGCTCCTCTCCACATTGGCACGTGTGCCGGGTGCTTAAAGGTCGATGGCATTGTTGCCTAATCAGGTAAAATATTTTCCATTTGATAAGAATGAAAAGTGCAAAACCCCTACTGAAGATAATAGCTTTGTTACTTTTGGACTCAGTGTGCATACCTGAATCTCAAGAACTAAATTGTGTCCCCTGAAAGCAAACGCTACAATACCAAGAGCATTCAGGACGGCAAAGACAGAAGCCGAAGAGGATGGTAACGAAATGGGTTCATAGGAAATTGTGGGTGGTCTTGGCTGGCTAACAGAGAGGACCCAAACCATTGTGGAGTAGGTTATGGCGGTCACAGCCCCAATGAGTGAAAGTCCTGCGATCGAATTGAGGTTTGGGAGCTGTGATAGAACGATACATAGCGAAGTGAACACTAAATACCACTCTACTGTTGTTAGGGGATTCGATGAACATAGAGGCCCACAAACTATCTGGAAAAATAGTTTCATAGTCTCCCCTCCTATGAGAATTAAAGCAGTTGCAGTTCCTGCTGATAAATAGACGGTTGGGAAGAGGGCAAGCCAAACTCCCAATCTTTCCCCTGTCAAAAGGAAATATATTTGCTGATTAATGACTTATTCACGTACAATTCTACAAATTCCAATTAAGCTAATTATATATCGCTCGTAAAGATCAAGCCAAATTCTTCAAGTGCACTCGCTGCAGTCATACCTAATGCAGATCATGTAAATATTCGAGCAACAAATAATTGTGCATTTGCTGGTAATTGAAATCTCTCTTACCAAATGCAGCTTGTGCAAGCTCAACATATCTGTTGTATCGTTTTCCTGGAACTGCTTCGTGAAGCTGAACTAGAATCCACAATGTGTAAAGTTGCCAGAAGTAGGCGATGGTTAACGAAAGTGTTCCCCAGCTCCTGTGGACAAAATCAACTAAACTAGTTATTAAGATTGGACAATCTTATCCTAATGTCAAACACTTCAAATCTATGAATATTGACTA